CCAAGAAAGCTAGCTACACCCAAAGCTGCAAAGAACTAAACCCTAAACCCTGAACCCTATTTAAGCCCTAAACTCTAAACCCTAAACCCTGAACCCTAAACCCTTAACCCTCAACCCTAAGCCCTAAACCCGGAACCCTAAAAACCCTAAACCCTAAACCCTAAACCCGAAGCCTAAACCCTAAACCCTAAGCCCGAAACCCTAAACCCTGAAAGCCCACGTCGCACCAGGTGCAAGGTCGATTCAACGATGTGGCACACCTCTCGGACGCCAGGTTGCACGGTGCTTCTGGGGATCACCCGGGTTTAGGGTTTAGGGTTTAGGGTTTAGGGTTTCGGGTTTAGGGTTTAGGGTTTAGAGTGTCGGGTTTGGGGTTTAGGGTTTAGGGTTGAGGCTTTAGTAGGGTTTTGGGTTTAGGAGGGGGTGTTTAAGGGTTCTTTCGAACTGGAAGTCTTCGCAGTTGAACCCTAAACCCTAAACACTAAACTGTTTGTCCGCTTGCGATAGGATCTGAGGCTCTGGGTTAGGTCGAAATCACCGAAGAGAGGAGCTTTTTAAGGTTTAGGAGGTTAAGGGATTACGGCTTCGAGGGTTTAGGGTTGATACCGAAGATAGATTCCATTCGGGACGTTTGCTGGATTTTGCTTGAAACGTCGAAGCTTTCTGCAGTGAACTTCCGACTCCACAACGTGCCAGAAGTTAAGGCGCTCTCACCAAGTTCCCAAACAAACCCTAAACTCTGAACCCTAAACCCTGAACCCAAACCCTGAACCCTAAACCCTAAACCCTAAACCCCTAAACCATTCCCTACACTATTCAGCCCCGGGTCACTCTTCGAACGTGAGGAATGTGCTTCTATCTACCCGAAGCATTCTCTCAGTGTTCTTCCCAGAATGTCCAAGACCACTTGTTTCAGGAATATCATCTACTTGAAAACCCATAGTATGCAGCCCTCGACGCTGAAAGGCATATTCCTACATCAAGGAATATACTTCAAGGCCTATTCCTTCTTGAGCCTCTTGGGATCCTTCAGCGTTTAGGGTTTAGGGTTTGGGGTTTAGGGTTTAGGGTTTAGGTTTGGAGTTTAGGGTTTGGGGTTAGGGTTTGGGGTTTAGGGTTTAGGCTTGGGTTTCTTACAGGCTTCTAGAAGGGTTTTACAGAGATGTTTCTCGCTCTGTCCACACGAATTACCTGCACCTGTACATGTATCTCAAAGTTCTACGTCGATCTAAAGCCCGCAAATGCTGGGCCCCGAAACCCTGATGACAGGTGCCACCGCAAAGCTCTTGGTCAACCGTGAACATGCAGAACTGCGTGAGGACGCGTGGCAGCTGCCTTTATTCGGTGATGCAGGCGAAGGAGCGCTCCGACAAACCACGCTGGTATGGGAGTGAACATGTGGCTGTTGCGTAGGACCCTTAGTTCGTGTTATCTTGGGTCTCAGGGCCGGATTTGCCTTGTCCTGGCATGGCGCACTCGCACTCGATTCTCAGCACCTCTCCGCATGGGTTTGGTTCGGAATCCAAGAAAGGAGAATACATCGCTCCCTAACTCCCCACTGCAAGCTGTCGCCATGGCGGGCCAACACTTGGCAGTGCTAGCTTATTCTTTGCTGCTCAGCTGTAGTTCTCAGGAATCGCAGGGCACAGGGCTCAAGGTTCATGCTCTTGGCATCTGGCATCGGGTTTGGGCTGTCAGCGCTTGGCTTAGCCTTGCCGTTCAGGGTTTAGGGCTTAGGGTACTGTATGATTTAGAGTGTATAGGGTTCAGAGCCACAGAACGCCAGAGATATTGGTTGCAGGCGCGTGGGAGTTGTGTGCCCGACATGGCCCGTAGAACCGCGATACACCCATGCAGGGCGCCCCTTTCGGGGAGCTGTTGCAGAACCCCATAGTTTTTTTTCAGGGTGGTGGTATCAGATTTCTGCAGGAGCTCGAATTCACGTGGGAGGTTTTGCATTTGCGGAAGTACGGACTCCAAATTTGGCGTGGTGGAAGAAAGGGTGGTAGCAACGATAGCCAGAGGAGAAATACGAATGACGACGATGACGAGCATGATGGTGATAATGTGATGGTGGCATTCCCCGGATAGGTAGACATCCCGTGCTCATAACAGGCATAGTATTATTCTCAAGAGCCAGAGCAAGGCCAAACACACTATCATAGCATCTTTACTATCCTTTAGTATTCGCGATGACAAACAGGTTTCATTCGCAACACTACTTCTATTTCCAACGCTGATCACAGCAGCAGTCGTAGTTGTAATTGGCATAGTTCTTGAGTCGTCAGGGCCTGCATAGGGTTTGAGATTCTGGTAGGATTACTCATTGTTAACACCGGGGTTTGGCAAACTATTGCGGGAGGTGGCTTGGCAGCAGTGTCCTTTGCAATGGGCGAGGGGCATTACTCCATGTGGGTAGTTCTCTAAATTAGGGTCCCCTTTTAGATCCCCAATATATAGTACGGCAGCCTCATAAAAAGGACACCAATTTAGAGAACTACCAATGTATACACTTTTAAAATTTCCGACGGGCTACATCATGCCTTTTCTGTCCTCAGGCAAGGCTGTCTGTCCCTCTGCTCTAGAGCTTGGCTGCACGCTGCGGAGTTGCTTTGCCGTAATCTCAATGGAAACGACTCGAAAACCCTGAACCCTAAACCCTGAAACCTTTTCTTCAAGAAGCCAGAACCTCACTCCTGGCATCCCCTAAAGACTGGGCAAGTACTTCTATTATGACCGTCTTCAGCCCTTATTCTGACGATATGAAGCCCTTATCATGGTCATAACAGTATGTACGTTTCCCTGATGATACAAAGGGCAACGAAACACCACATTACCCCAACTTCCCGCTGTGAAGCCTCTGCTTGGTCCTTCTTTGGGGTCTTCTGGCCTTTGCCGGCAGTCCTTAGGACGAAGCCTCAACCCGAACTTCAAATCCAAAGCCCCAAACCTAGGGTTAAGGGTTTAGGGTTTAGGGTCTAACATTCCAAATCGCAGCACATCAGACTCCCGCATGGAATCTAAGGCTTCGACTTGTACATTCCCGGGGCATCCTTGGTGTCTTGGAGGAGAAACGAGCAGAGCAGTCACAGCATTTCATGGTGAGAAAAGCAAGCACTCGCCCAGGAATGTTAGAGTTTGGAGGCTAGGGTTACGGCTGAGGGATTGAAAGTAAGGGCTTTGGGTACAGGACTTCCTATGTTCAAGCACGTCGATCTTTGGTGTCTTCGCGCAGGTTCAGCACCACCCGAAGCCGACTCCCAACCTCTCATGCCCCTTGCCCGTCTAACCGTATAATAGCCCAACTTGGAGGCCCGGGGGACTTAGTAAGTGGGTTATAAGTAGGGTTATAATTGGGTAACTCCAGCTAGGGTACTTATAACTCTACTTATAACCTACTTACTAAGTCCCATGATCCTCCAAGTATAGTACCCTGAAGTACCCTGTAGCCCTATGCACCCGTCCCTGACAATCCTCGGCCAAAAGAAGCGAAAGGGCTGTGTTTGGGGGGCCTACAGACTTGTGGTTTAGGGTTTAGGGTTTAGGGTTTAGGGTTTAGGGTTTAGGGTTTAGGGTTTAGGGTTTAGGGTTTAGGGGTTTAGGGTGTAGGGTTTAAGGGTTTTTGAAGTACAGCCCATTGGGGCACCAAAGGCCACCTGAACGACAACTTGCTGGACGGGGCCCGTGGTATGACGGTCGATGGGAGCCGTTTGCCTGTTTTGGAGTAGGAGTGGGGGAAGGTAGACGAGTAATACTAGGAACAATGACAAGAAGAATGATCCTAATCCTACTGCGCGCATCGTGATGTTTGGGATAGGGATTGGATTGGGAATTCCGCCTGTTGGGTTTGAGAACGTGCGGAAGTTTTCGACAAGGGGCGCAAAACTATATTTCATTCATGGTCACGTTTTAGATAAGCGATGGCAGTAGAAGTAGTAGAGAGCTTCGACTCTCCTGCGACTTAAATTGGGTACCAGCTCTGTGTCTTTGACTGGGCTTTGGCCCACTAAGGCTATGCCTATGTGGCCAGTCACAATGCTGACAGCTTGGTAGTGTTGGACGTCTCGACACCGGCCAGTCCTACGATCGTAGGCTCCGTGACGGATAGCACCAACCTTGATGGAGCCTACAATGTGGTCCTGGATGGAAGCTACTCGGATAAATCGTTAGCACTTTTCCGCTCCGAAACTCATGCCAGCCTCCCTTCCATTCCTGCACAGCACAGGACTTACGCCTAGAACCCTTTTCCCGATATTCCTTTGCGCCTATGCTGGTACCCCTTGTACCCTTGTATCGCGATTGGACAGATTGGACTCAGGTGGCTATGCCTATGTGGCTGGCTACCGGGCCGACAGTGTGGTGGTGGTTGATGTGAGCACGCCCACAGCGCCTGCAGTGGTTGGCACTTATTCCTCCATCTCAGATTCGCCAAATGTTCTCAACGGTGCCAGCAGCATTGCCGTTTCAGGTAATTACGCCTACTCCCTTTCGTGGTTTGGCGACAGCTTGGTGGTTGTGGATGTCTCCACAAAAACCAATCCCACACTCGCAGGAACCTTTCAGGCAGCAGGCGATCTTGACGGACCCACGGACATCGCGATCGTCGGAAGCTATGCTTATGTCACGTGTCAGCATACGGACAAGCTGGCGGTGCTAGACATCTCCAACCCAGCCAGTCCCACGAAAGTGGGCGAGGTGGCAGACAGCAGCGTGATGGATATGCCCCTTGGCCTAGCGATCGACGGCACAATGGCTTTCGTGGTGGCCTACAACTCCTTTAGCTTCTTGGAAGCCGGGTTGTTTTCCATGTTGTTGTCTGTGTTTCTCTTATGTCCTTCATCGAACAGAATCAGCGGTAATGTGGCTGTGGGGCTGACAAGCATAGTCTTGTATGATGACTTTTCCTGAACGATCCTTATAAGCCGCATGGCTGCTCGGCTACATAGGTTTGGTAGCAATCGACATTTCCACGCCGACCAGTCCTGTGATTGTGGGCTCAGTGGTTGACAGTGCCCGAGACCATCTCGACTATCCTTTCGCTGTCCGCGTTGCTGGTAGCTCCTCTGGGAGGTGATTTAGAACGTGATCTTGCTTTCTTGTCGGCTGTTATACCCTACTTCAGATAAAGCATGACAACCATGAAACTTCAGTACGTGTACCAGTCGCCCAAACCCTAAACCCTAAACCCTAAAGTCATGATCATCGTACGAACAGGAGTTCAATGGGCACAATAGTGACCAAAAGATGGTTCTTAGCACCACGAGAAATCTGCTGCCTCAACCCTAAACCCTAAACCCTAAACCCTAAACCCTAAACCCTAAAGCCTAATGCTTTTAGTGTTTCTTCGAACCCTTTAGGCTCTGCGTACGTGGCAAGCAACGGGAACGGAGGAGGTGTGACGATCGTGGATATTTCTACTGTGCCTGGCCTTTAGGGTTTAGGGTTTAGGGTTTAGGTTTTTTGAACTGACCGAATCACGTTGTGAGTCTGTTTTTGGGGGTTTCCTGGGACAGATCAGGGCAGTTTACAGAGTTGACTGCGGCAATCCCTGGGATGATTCTGGTGATCATCATAGTAGGTAGCACATTGGGCCTCTGTTGCGCGGATTTTGTCGTTCGGGGTTATATCGCGGGATTTGCGGGGTCCATAATTTCTGAAACCCTAAACCCTAAACCCTAAACCCTATCATGCTTTTGCTACCTTCATGGCGGAAGCGTTGGATAAAATTGGTTTCGCGGGCACAGTTCGGCATCCTCATAGGCAGAGTCAATCTCCCACAAGTCCTCTTCGTGTAGTCTTCCGCTTTGGTCGCCAACAAAAAAGGTACACATGTAGGTGGGGTTTAGGGTTTAGGGCAATGAGAAGCACTGCCTAGCAACACCGAAGTCGAAGAAGACAAACTACACGTGAGCGTCGCGAGGATCTACTTATTAGAGTATAATGGTAGATTATAGATATACGGCGGTATACTGTATATGTATATATATGGTATATATATATATATATAGAATATATCATTTAACGAGCGCGCTACTTGGAAGAAATATTTAGGGCAATTGAAGCCAAAGCTCAGGTGGCCAGCCCCTCTATCGTTGACAGTGTGAAGGACAACACTGTGCTTGACGAAAACAGGGGCATCTATCCAATACTTGGACATGGTTTTGTCAATGTTTTTCGTGGTATCATAGTCTTCAGAAGCAGTTACCTGTGCTTTCACAGAACAACACAGGTATAGCGGCTGCCAACGGCTACTTGGGATGCTTCAATGTGCTTTGTTGTGTGTTACGGTGCTAGATTGGGTTTGGGATCTGAGAGGCAGAAAGAACTCTTGCTTCAGTCACATTGTCTCTAGTTCAAACGAAGATTTGTAGAATCCCAATTCTCCTAGGTATATTCATTTCAGGGTATCGGGCACTTCGGGGTTAATCGGGAGACCTGACCTGAAGCGCCAAGTGTATCATTAGGGTTTAGAGTTTTAGGGGTGTTGTATCTTGGGTGTGCGTGAGTCAGGCTTGGTCTACGTCTCTGCGTATACTGGCAAGAACTTTGTTGTTGTGGACCCAAATCCTACTACCACAAGTACAACCCTCACCAGCACGGTCACTCTTTCGACCACTTCTACATCCCTTACAACATCGAGCAGCACATCCACCACCACGAAAAGTGCCAGCAGCACCACGACGGCATCGGCAACAACATCCACCACCACGAAAAGTGCCAGTAGCACGACGACGGCATCGGCAACAACTTCCACAGTGACAACAGTCAGCAGTTCGACCACCGCCACAACAACCTTCACCGCCAGCACCACGATCACCGCAACAGCAACAACTTCGACATCGATGACAACGAAGAGCAGCACAACTACCACCAGTACCACAACAGCAGGAACGGTGACAACCGCAACGTTCACAGCAACAGCAATGGAGACATCATCAACTTCCACGACGACAACAGTGACAGACACGGAAGCAGGCTCAACCCCGGTGGCAGCAACCGGGCTGGAGAGATAAAGGGTGCTAACGGACTCTAGGGCTTAAGGGCTTTAGGGTTTAGGATTTAGGGTTTAGGGGTTTAGGGTTTAGGGTTTAGGGTTCCCGGGATTTTTCGTGGGATCAGCTTCGCTGAATTCAGGAACCCTCCGGCAATGTGAGCTCAGCTGGCTTGGATACAAGCCTTGCCGTGATCATTGTGCTCGGGAGCATACTTCTCATCTGTGTGCTTGGAGGTCTGGCCACCCTAAACCCTAAAAAAATGAGCTCTAAACCCTAAGCCCTAAAGCCCTAAACCCTAAACCCTAAACCCTAAACCGGGCAGGACTGTGCTGGAAGGCTTGGCAGCGCAAGGCCCGCGAACCTGCCTCAAGTGACGAAGTCCGTGTCTGAAATCTGTAGGGTTTGGGAGGTCCTAAGGGTTTGGGATTTAGGATTTAGGGTTTAGGGTTTAGGGTTTCGGGTTTAGGGTTTAGGGTTTGGGGTTTAGGGTTTAGGGTTTGGGGTTTAGGGTTTAGGGTTTAGTACCTGGAGGCCCTAGGGACTTAGTAAGTAGGTTGTAAGTAGAGTTATAAGTACCCTAACTGGAGTTACCCCAATCATAACCCTATTTATAACCGACTTACTAAGTCCCCTGGGTCCCCTGGGCCTCCAAGAATCTTTAATCATTCTGGTGCCAATCCCCCCTCAAATAATCAATCGTGAACCATGTTGTAAAGAGGCCCTTATCAGACAAGGATGACCTAATTCGTTGCCGATTGTCGTTGCTGCCTCCGTATCTGGTTTTGCAAAGCAAAACTCTTTTAGGCAGCGAGCACTACATATCCAGCATGGTGCAGGCTGTTCAAGATGCCGCATCATTCTGGTCTGTTTTTCGGTGAGAGTTCTTCTTAGGTCACTGTGAGTTTGTTCGAGGCTTTGCGCAAACAAATCCCTTGCAGCACCTTTTTGGCACCTTCCCATTGTACACTATCTTCCGTCGAAGGTGCTGGGAACGCTGTAAACCAAAACCATGCAGCATATGCGCATCATGCGTGAACAAAGCTGCGCACTCTTTCCTCTAGCCCACTTGAGGAAGGAAGGGGGTCAGTACTTGTATTGCGTATCAGTAGGCGTCATTGCAGAGATTTCCATAGAGATCCATTCTCCGCTGCAGAGATTTCGTTATTCCTGTTTCAACTTTGAGGTTGTGAGGTACTATTGCGACTGACGCAGCACCCTAAAACCTAAGCCCTAAACCCTAAGCCCTAAACCCTAAACCCTGAACCCTGAACCCTAAACCCGAAGCCTTAAACCCTAAACCTTAAACCCTAAACAACACTGAGCAAGGGGGGAGGATAAGGGGTCTCGAAGTTCTGGGCCGCTTTGACTTGGGCCAAGCTTCCCAAGCCACGTCTGCTGCTTTTGACTTGGAGCCAGACACGGTTTAGGGTTTAGGGTTTAGGGTTTAGGGGTTTAGGGTTTAGGGGTTTAGGGTTAACAACGGAAACCCTCAAGCCTCTTCGTGCTGAGCCCTGAAACATCAAACTGAAGTCCGCAGACCTCTCTAGCTTTCCTAACCTAAACCCTAAACCCCTGAACCCTACTTGGAGGCCCAGGGGACTTAGTAAGTCGGTTATAAACAGGGTTATAATTGGGATAACTCCAGTTAGGGTACTTATAACTCTACCAGTTAGGGTACTTATAACTCTACTTATAACCTACTTACCAAGTCCCTTGGGCCTCCAAGTACATGTCCATTCCCCCAAACCCTCAACCCTAAACCCTAAACCCTAAACCCCGGGAGCTCCAGCCATGCAGGCCGATTTCGCATGGTTTCATCTTCGCCTTTCCGGCAGCTTTTCCTTACATCAACGCCTGAGTTGCCCGAAAAAGAAGGCCGCCTCCGCTACATTTTCAAGCTTGAGCCAAGTCCGAAAGTCTGTCGGATCAGGCTTGTCAGATGTCAACATCCTGAAATCGAGCTTATCTTGAGAACATCGCTTGAAGAGGAAGAGCGTCTAAGCACGTTGTGCTTTCCAAAGGCTTGTGTCTGCGACGCACGCATTTTTTTGCAGTCATTGTGTCCAAATCTAGTGATTCGAAGGGAAGCATCTGCCATGAAACCTCTAACTTTGAACCCGTGATCTGACGTGTTTGCTGTAGGGTTTTAGGCTTTTTGGGGGTTTAGGGTTCAGGGTTTAGGGGTTGCAGGTTCCTAGGCCCTGATCCACGGTTTAGGGTTTAGGGTTTAGGGTTTAGGGATCCGCCTGCACATGGGTTCTGGGCTGGGGCTGGCGGGGACTTGACCTGGACGCCGCTAACGTCAAACCCCGACGCCTCAAGCACAGCGGAGCTGACACACCGAAGTCTATGCACAACTGAAGAATCAGTGGGGAGTAGGGAAACCCTAAACCCTACACCTTAAACCCTAAAAAACCCCACAGCCTACACCCTAAAGCCTAAACTTGTAAAACGGAGTTGTAGGTTTGGGAGATAGGCCTTGCAGTTTCGCAGATTCGGGACTTTCCCAGCCTGGGGGTTGCTACTCCGTGAAAGACCCGGGCGAACGCAAAGCATCTGAAGCCCCAATGCCTGTGAACAGCCTGAAGACCTACAAATGTACACTTCGGCCTTTTCTTTGTTTTTTATTATTTTTTGTTTGGGGGGGGGTGCTTTTAAACCCTAAAAAAGCAACCCCCAAAAACACGTCCGAGTAAACACCGTCGAGTTTGGAACCCCGAGGAAGTTGCGGCCAAGAGGCAGCCACATCGATGGGGCCTAGAGGTCCGTTTGCGGTGTAGCATAAGGTAGGGTGGGGTTCTGGATTTCTGCCGATTGCTACTTCTGGCTTGCAACACAAACAAAGCCCGGTATCGGGGTCAAACCACCCAGCCCCTAAACGGCTTGGCATAGGCGCTCATCCAGTGCTACCAGTAGTTCTCAGCATCCGTGGCATCATCATGGCCTCGCAAGCACTGTGTAAGAGCCCGGCAGACTTTGTGGCGGTGCGGCCGCGGATGCGCTGAGCACCGGCACCTCACTGACTGGGGCGAAGTAGGGCTCGACTCACCGAGTTTAGTATGAAAATTTTGTATGGTTTTGGGTTTCGGGTTTAGGGTTTGGGGCTTAGGGCTTAGGGGTTTTATGATTCCCGTTACAACTCTGATTCAAGATGAGCTGGTTTCAGCGTGGCTACGATGGCTGTGACTATGACTATGTTCTTCAGACGTGTCCATTGTTGTTGATCGTCTTACCTGTACAGATGTATATGTATTCAAACACTCGAGAGTAGCATTGCCGACAAAAAAACAAACACACACACACGCACAACAACAACCACTGCGACTGCGACCGGGGTTGCGACCACGACGCCGACAACGACGACGACTCTTACAAGAACAAGAAGAATCGTTCTGGGTTTAGGGTTTAGGGTTTAGGGTTTAGGATTTAGGGTTTAGGGAGTTTCCGAAAATTATGGGTACCTTCTTTTGGGGGGTCCTTATAATAACGATCCTATTATTTAGAGTACTATATTAAGGTCCCCTAATTTCCGGAAACCCCCACATCTGGCTTGAGTCCGACAGTTCACCATGTCCTGAGACCCAAAACTACTGCAAGCACCCTGTTTGTGCAGAAACACGACATAACGCGACGATCCACGGGAACTGCTTCTTTTAGTCATGGATGACCGCTCAAAAACACCTCTTAAAGGTCCTAACATTGAGCAAGGAAGGGCTTGCTCTATTTCTGCCAATGCGCGGCCGATCACCCTTTGACTCGCCACACAGCTTCGCGTGCGCCGCGAAGACTTGGTTCACCTGCTCGCAGCACGAATTCCTCCCAAACCCTGAAACCCCAAACCCTGAAACCCCAAACCCCCAGAACCTACAGTAAACCCCAAAAAGTTGGAAACCGGATTAAGGACAATTAGTGCTGGGATTCCTTCTACATTGCTCTTAAGGATTGAAGCTATTGGGTTTCCAACTTTGGGGCTTATAAACGCGCGCAAATGCCAAGAGATACTGACAATGGTAAGAGCACTTGCCAGGATCATGGCAATCATGCTGTTGACCCAAACACTGATGGCATGGTGAGTGGAAGACTGACAATCGAGAGGGTTTTATGATGGTTCTATGAGGCTTCTATGAGGGTTTGAATGCACATCCTGAACCCTAAACCCTAAATCCTTAACCCTTTGAGCTTCAGCTTGAAGGCTTGAGCGCTGGGTGGCATCGGGCTTTCCGTCATCACAGCGGTCAACACCAATCACAAGGATTACACACCTGCCGAGATCTCCCAAACCAAAAGGTAAAATAATCTATATATATATATAGACACACAGACCTCTCCATCACTACACCATTATATCCCACGTCGCGATTCAGCCTTCCATACTTTTCCAAGCCTTTAAACCCTAGACCCCAAACCCTTCATAAACCCCTGAGAAAACATACCCTAAAACCCCTAAACCCTAAACCCTTCGGAAACCTTTGAAAACTGCTCTTTGGCGCCTCGGCGCGGCTCTTAGAGTAGAGGGGTGCTACCTGCAAGAACGGAAACAAACCCGAAGCTCTTTCCATGGCATTCCTCTAGAGATGGTTTAGGGTTAAGGGTCTAGAGTATGCATGCGGCTTCAAGGGTACTATGAGATTTCCTTTCATGGGACATTATGTAATGTAAGGGTTCCTCCAAGGGTTCGACAGGGGCTCGGGGGGTTTAGGGGTTGACGTTTGGGTGCGTAGGGGTTTGGGTTTTCGTGGGATAGGGCGGTTGGAGGGTGCAGTGTATGGGTTTCGGTAGGAAGGGTTGATAAGCTTAGGTGCTGGTAATATTCGGCTTCTCGGAGTTTAAACGGCTTTCATGTTGGCTTCAAGCCTTTAAGTGTACGGTCTTTAAGTTTTACGTTGCATGGCTGTGTGCGCTGTAAAGGCGAACGAGGTTTGGGGCTCCGAGTTTCGTGCTTCGGTGCTTTTGCAAATTTTGCAGCTTTGAGCACGCCAACTCTTCGGCTCGCTGTAGCTTACATGTTCGTGGTAAAAACAAGGTTTTAATGATTGGCATACCGGAGTATGCTATACTATAATATTAAGAAACAAAAAGTACCCAAGGAATGTTACTTCCTTGGCCTCCGGCGGGGCATCTAAAACCCCGACGATGTTTGAGAGGGCTTGAGGTGCCCCAAATGATCGGGTAACATTGCGGGCTTGACGGCGGGAGCAGGGTTTGGGACATATCCTGGCATAACCATGTATAAGAACATTGGGACTTACGGTGGTGTATTCGGTAATTATCCCAAAGGCTCCATGTACCTTTATAGTAGATACTCAAGCCTGAAAGGGATCCCTATATAGGTACTCTGAGGCCTAAGTATCTGCTATAAAGGTACATGGAGCCTTTGGGTAGTTTTCCTGTATACACTTACAGCCAGATGCTGAATGCTCTGCTCAAAGGACATTGGAGTCCCGGCACTTTAGCAGATTCTGTCTTAACGCCGTTGAAGATGCCTCGAAGAGACCACAACGCCCGGGTTTTGCCGGGACAAGTTTAAACCCCAAGCCCCATATCCGAAAACCAGAACCTTCAACCTCAAACCCCTCATCCCACAAAAAGCCCACCTAGAAAACGACAGCCCCGAGGCTTTGGACCCAGAAACGCTCACCTCGTCCACGCTGAGGGACGGGTTGTTGTTGAGCTCCTTCGGGCTTAGGGTTTAGGGTAAGGAGGCAACTTCGCCTTCGGTCAACCAGGTAGTCCCGGCTGAGCTTGCTCTTGCCAGATTCGGCAACTAAACAACGAAAACACCTGTGACTGCTGCTGTTGCGATTGGGATTGACTATCGCTATCCCACAGCTTGAATCCAACAACCCCAAGCACTCGATCTTCAGGGGGTTTGGGGCCTACCCACCTATTCAAACGATCCGAATTTCTAAAGCCCACACTCGGAAAGGGAACCCTTAAAGGAGCACTTAAGGGGGCCCTTCAAGGAACCCTCAATGGGGGTCTCCAGGAGCCAAGGCTTCGCCGCTTGGTCCACAAGAACGTCAAAGCCCAGGATTTGAAAGCATCGGCCTCGTCGGCTCTTTGGTGGGCGGATTTAAAATTAGGCTTTTGAAGTTCAGGTCAAGGTTTAGGGTATATATACATATATACAAAGAAAGAAAGAAAGACAGAGAGAGAGAGAGGGAGAGAGGGAGAGGGGGAGATGTAGATGTTCATACTAATATACATCTATATATATATATATATATATATATATATATTCGTTATTTATATGTATATGAAGAGGAAGATGATTTGTAAGGTTCGTTTCATCGATATATAGTGAGGACTTCTCGGCGATGTGTTAGCCTCCAAGCCTGGCTCCTTCCTGGAGTTTAAGGGCTGATGGTGTCAGGGTTTAAGGGGTTTCGTGGCTCAGGGGCTTAGGGTTTCGGGCTTCGAATTTTGTGGTTTAGGGGTTTAGGGTTCACGACTTAGGATTTATAGGGGTTAGGGCACGAAAGCTTACTAGAGTTGTGCAGGCTTCATAGGTAAAGTTGCAGTAGTAGGGTTTCATCGAAGTGTTTGTAGGAGATGTTGCGCCTTTATCAGGGTTGACGGTTCTTGAGAAACTTTGGGGACATTCGGGGGTTTCCGAGACTAGGGGACCCCATTATAGTACCCTAAACAGTAGGATCCTGATTACAAGGCCCCCAAGCAAGGTAACTCCCAGTGCGTGGGGCTTGGAATTCCGGATTGAAGTTGCAATTGGTAGGTTTAGGGTTGCCTGGTTTAGGGTTTAGGGTTTGGGGTTAGGGTTTGGGGCTTAGGGTCTAGGGTCTAGGGTTTAGGGTTTAGGGTTTAGGATTTAGGGTCGGGTTGCCTGTCTACCTTGCCGGGGTGGTCCCTCTCCTCTTCTATTCCGCTGCTTTTCGATCTGCCCCCGTTCTCTGCTGATCGTACGAGTCTTCCACTTCTATGAACAGCGAGAACATTGGCATGTCTCTGTGTTCCAACCTAACACAAAAAGTCTTAACCCTAAACCCTTGACCTCTCTAAACCCTGAACCCTGAACCCCAAAAACCGTAAACCCTCATCCCTAAAACCCTACTAAACCCCAAAGCCTCATTCCTAAATCCTTGAAGTTCAAGATCTGTATAAACCCTAAACCCTAAAACCCCAAACCCTCATGCCAAAAACCCTAAACCTTAAAGCCCCGAACCCAAAAAAACCCTAAGCTCCCTGAAGCCTAAAGCCGTGACCCTGAACCCCAAACTCCCTAAAGCCTAAAGCCCTGAACCCAAAAACCCAAAACCCTCAAGTCCTGAACCACAAAAAACCAAAAACCCCTAAACTCCCTGAATCCTAAGCCCTGAACCCCAAAAACCCCAAACCCTGAAGCCCTGAACCCCAAAAACCCAAAACCCTGAAGCCCTGAACCCCAAAAACCCCAAACCCTGAAGCCCTGAACCCCCAAAAACCCAAAACCCTGAAGCCCTGAACCCCAAAAATCCCAAACCCTGAAGCCCTGAACCCCAAAACCCCCAGAGCCCTGAAGTCCTGAACCCCAAAACCAAAAACCCCAAACTCCCTAAAGCCTAAAGCCCTGAACCCCAAAAAACCCCAAACCCTGAAGCCCTGAACCCCAAAAACCCAAACCCTGAAGCCCTGAACCCCAAAACCCCCAGAGCCCTGAAGTCCTGAACCCCAAAACCAAAAACCCCAAACTCCCTAAAGCCTAAAGCCCTGAACCCCAAAAA